GTCACACCCTGATCTGTGTCACCCATCTTCCCCATTATCCCCTGTGCATTTATACCTGTGTTCTCTGTTTGTCTGTTGCCAGTTCGTCTCGTCAAGCCTACCAGCGTGTTTTTCGTACTCCTGTTTTCTTGAGCCCTCTTTTCTAGTTTTCCTGGTTTTGATCCTTCTGCCTACCCTGACCCTGACTGCCGTTCTGTACCTTACGGACTCTGCCCTGGACTACTGACCTCTGCCTGCCCCCTGTTCATATAATAAAAGTCAGTTATTCGAACTGTCTGCATCTGAGCCGTGATAGTTCTGTTTAAAGGGAGAAGTGGCTCTGGAAGACAAAACAGACAAATACTCCATCTAAACGTGAATCAATTCTCAACTGCAATACGGTTCTAGAAACATTAACCCCTCTACTTTCATATCACCTCAAAATAATTTCACAAATGGAAAATACACAGTTACTGTACGCTGTTTTAACGGGCTTTAACAGGTGCTGCCAAAAGTATTTTTTAGTGACAACACGTTTGTGGTGAATGTCTTCCATTTACACACGGTGTTCGGAGACGCAGATAGCAAATTAGCACAGGTTTAATGGGGGCTCATCCGGGATACCATTAAACCCACTGGACCCTGCTGCACTGAGCTCTCTGAGTTGTGATTGAGGTGTGATGGTAGGTTGTGGTTTGTGTATTTTCATGTAGGTATTTCAGGAAATGGATTCCTGAAATTCCCCAACAAGCAGCTGATTGATTGGATGAATATTGATGATTGGAGAGCTGACCCCGCGCCCTCGTCAGGATGCAGCTGTCTCCAATTACATTTTATTTACATTTTAGTCATTTAGCAGACGCTCTTATCCAGAGCGACTTACAGTTAGTGAATACATATATATATTTTTTTATTATACTGCCCCCCCGTGGGAATCAAACCCACAACCCTGGCGTTGCAAACGCCATGCTCTATCAACTGAGCTACATCCCTGCCGGCCATTCCCTCCCCTACCCTGGACGACGCTGGGCCAATTGTGCGCCGCCCATGAGTCTCCCGGTTGTGGCCGGCTGCGACAGAGCCTGGATTCGAACCAGGATCTCTAGTGGCACAATTAGCACTGTGATGCAGTGCCTTAGACCACTGCGCCACTCAGGAGTATTACCAACTCCTCCTGAAGCTATATAAGCCCCACTTGCTCAGAAAAGGGGGGGGAACCAGAATGGCTGAGAGTTACAGCATGTTGGTTGTATGCTAAGATTTTGGTATGTACTGTGTAGTTGTTGCTGTGATGGTTTGTGTTAATTTGTGGCTCAGAGAGTTTCTTTAATGTCCTGAGTTAATTTTTTTCTCAGGTTTTGTTGTGAACCAGTTTGTGCAATTTTGTTTCATTTGTTCCCAAGGGGGGAAGGGGAAGGCACCTAGGGAGTGCTTAGGCAAGAGGCCCGCGGGCATACATTACCCGTAGAAGTATATTGTCTATGCACACTAGGAAAGACCTGGGCGGACCATCCCTTGTATTTTGGTTAGTGCACCAGGTGGTGCTAGTTAAGTAGTGGGTAGGCAGGTAAGGTAGGAGAGGGGGCTTTGATATTTACTTTCTTTGCTTTGGTTCCGTCCAGCCCCTTTTCCCCAAACTTACCGTGCGAAGGAATAAATTCCCTGTTAACGGTATTCTCTGCCTTTTGTCATCCTTACTCACACCTACAGTCCCGTACCTCTTTCACACCACGGAGAGTTGGGTTTCACCCCACGGAGAGTTGGGTTTCACCCCACGGAGAGTTGGGTTTCACCCCACGGAGAGTTGGGTTTCACCCCACGGAGAGTTGGGTTTCACCCCACGGAGAGTTGAGTTGTAGCAGGGTGTTGCGTTCCCTCTTCCACCCCACGGAGAGTTGAGTTGTAGCAGGGTGTTGCGTTCCCTCTTCCACCCCACGGAGAGTTGAGTTGTAGCAGGGTGTTGCGTTCCCTCTTCCACCCCACGGAGAGTTGAGTTGTAGCAGGGTGTTGCGTTCCCTCTTCCACCCCACGGAGAGTTGGGTTTCACCCCACGGAGAGTTGGGTTGTCGCAGGGTGTTGCGTCCCCTCTTCAGTCTGATTCCGTAAACAAGCACGGTAACATGGAAATATGGCCGCATGGGAACCCTAACCCTATAAAAGGTGTGTATCAATTTAACCTTTAGTTTTTTTATTTCTCGCCGATATGAAAGATAAGGTCCATATTCTTCCAAAACCGTACCGCAAGCGATGCATGTCAATATTCAGACAGAGCGTTGCGGCTCTTAACAAAACTCCCACCTACAAAATACTCCTTTGTCCAATGACTCTTACGTGTAATGGAACTGAGAGTCATGATCAAGGGCTAGACATAGCCTAACCAGCGTCAGAAGAAGGCAGTTTTATAAAATGACTGATTACATTCCAATCGGCTCAACATGAGTCTTCCCTAAAATAGGAATTATGGCTATTTTATAATCAGTTTTTTAAATTGTGTTAATTAGGTAAAGGATTTGACGTACTCAACCAGTTTTACCGCTGATTGTCCCCTCTGGACATTAGAAAAGTGTTTAAGGCCCAAAGCGGTGACACCCCTGGTCTGTTATTATACCTGTCTGCATGAATGCAAAAGCCATAACAAAGATTCCTATATAAACCTATACAATGTTTGGCCATTATCTCTGTTTCTTGGAAGAGGAAGAGGATAGAAGTTTCAGGTATAAAACTGGGCAAAACTTGTTGAAATTACAGCATTATAACATCATTACAACGGTTGAAATGACCAATGACGTCTTCAAAACCAGTTTTGCCCGGATTCTGGTTGTAAAGACGTCATTTGAACGATTCTTGCCCACTGGGTAACACACATTTTATTGATGCTCAGTAGTTTCCCCTAGATTCTAAAATATCTCAGTAACACAGTAACACCGTCTTGAAGATGGAGTGAGGTGCTTCCGTCCGCTCGGGGCGATTCGAAGCATGGTGTAAAACAGATTTAGTTGGAATCGTTAAAAAGGGGTGGCTTTTTGCAACAAGCTTTATCCAAAAGCTTTTTTTTTTCTCCATTTTGTGGCCCAATACGTTTTTGATTTATTTTTGCCTGTGAGGCAATCAGCATCTGTGTTCTGTGGTTGTGGCAGACCAATGTCATTATCAGACAAGAGCCCATAGGGGGTGACAGACTTATTAACGCACACTGTAAAATATTGTTCTGTTTTCCCCCACTTTCTCCCCACTTTTACCTCCGCAAATGTAATAAATAATGACTAATGATGATTGGTTGATTGATCCCAAAGCTTTCCAGATTGAGTTTGGGGCTTCAGCATCATCCTCTGGTTAAGGTCATTTGGATTACTCAGACTGAGCCAAATATGTGTATATATATTTTTCCTGCAGGTTTTTGTGAGAATTGAGGTATTCTATGGCATTTGTTGACCACCAGTATGGCACCTCTTAACTGTCCTTGTGAGATGTGACAGCAGGGTACATCAACAGAGCACATGTTCTTCAGAAGCTTGTCATGTGTAATGCACAATTTACCATATGCCACACATCATCATCATCATCATCATCATTGTAAAATGTGGTGGGTACATCTCTAACCGACACCATTGTGTTATCATGCGTCTAACACTGTGGTAACATTAATACGACTGTAGATTATTACTATTTTTTTAAAACATTCTATCTAAAGGTATTTTGAGGACAAAATGGATCGCCTAGAAACAGAACGACATTACTTTACTGTTACCGTCTTCTTCTCTATGTAAATGAATATCTGACACTTGGGATGTTAACAGATGGATTCGACCAGGTCATTTAAAAGGATAGCTGGTGTATCAAGCCTATGATTTCTCCCTCTCTCCTGCATTAAGATTTCAAACAGATTGCACGTCAGGCGGAGGAGGAGTCTCTTTTCAAGTCATATCAATCAAAGTAAATGACTGTTTGCTCGCTGCTCGCCTGAATTGGACTGCATGCTCACCGACGTCACTGCTCATTGTAGTGGAATCTTTAAACGTTTCACGTTATTGTCTATGACTTGATGATTAAATGGAGATGGTCAGTTTGTATGGGTACATCGTGCGTGATTGAAAGTTATGACATTTTTAATTCATTCACTTTCAAAATATGAAGAAAATATAGCCTACAAATTATAGGGGTGTGGATCCTGATGTTCTCAGGAAGGTGAAATAGAATAGATGAGTATTGATTAGGCTATGGCATTTAAAATAAGTCATTGACGCCCCCCACAGTCTTTTTCACAAAGCTCAAATTGTTTCCCTGCGTATGACAATATGTGAGATTATAAAACCTTATAGCAATCAAAAGTTAGATCTCATAACTAGACTCAACACACTCTTAAAATAAAAGTTGTCTCATTAGTTGAGGCCGGTTTTGACTATTTGAGAGGCTCCTGTATTGTCAGTTTTCCATTTGATTTACTGCTCAGTCAAGGACATTCTTCCACACGGCCTTTAGGAAATGTCAGTGAACTTCCTCCATGCATTCAGCGCACATTACACTTTATCACCTTTGTCACCTCCATACTCCTCCTCCGTCATCCCTCGACTCTCCTCAGCCCACCTCTCTCCCCCCTGTCACCCCTTCCTGAGGAGTCAGAGCAGACTTTAAGAACTGTGTCTCTCGGTGACGTCCGACTCCATTTGAGCATGACTTTGGGGTTAAGGCCTGAGTTGGCAAAGGCCAAGGGTCTTGATATGCCTTAGCTGCAGAGATTCAGACGTTGGCCTAATGCCTTAGTCAGAGACACCAATGTTATCCAATGTGGTATACACTGGAAGGAATCTTTCCTATCTGCCAGAATGCTCTTGTGACCTCCTATGCACTCTATGAGGTAGATAAACGGTTAAGTGGAGCCACTACCTTACGAGGACTTAATGAAAATACATGACACACTCCGCTGGATGTCTAAGCCTTTAAAAGACACTATACTTTATATCCTAACTGCACACATTTTCTCCAACGGATCTGTGATGTTTTCTATTTTTTTCTGTGAACAGAATTCTGCTTCCTGATGACACGGCGACGTTGGTGGCAAAGGCTGAAATCGATGTCTGGTGGTCATACAGTCTAAAGTGTCAGACCCATTGAAATTACTGCAGATGAGAATTCCCTAGCTGTCTGATGGTTATCAGAGAAATAGCAGCGTAGGTGGGAGTCCTGCCGTCCTCTATGCCTCAACCCGACCAAAGACACTGGATACGTCCCAAATGGAACACTATTCCCTAACGAGTGCACTACTTTTGACCAGAGCCCTATGGACCCTGATTAAAAGTAGTGCACTATATAGGGAATAAGATGCCATTTGGGACACTACCACTGGATTACTCTTCACCTCCCCCAGTGTGACCTGGCCCAGTGAGAGGCCTCCTGAATGGACGGGGGAGGTGATGTATTTGGGACAGATCCACCAATGAGCTCTCTCCCTCCCTCCCTCCTTCCCTCCCTCCCTCTCATGTCACAACACCATCACCTCCATGCTCCATTCATGTTAACATCTTTAAAAATATATATGGAGCAGCAACTCTCTGAGTTAACAGCACTCAGTTAATGGAGTTAATGGCACTCAGGGAAGACATGATGCTTATCCCAGCTCCCTGAGGACACAATGGCTTTCACGGTTGATTGGTCATGTGCCTTCATCACCCTTGAGAATGTGGATAATATAGAACCCCCATGGCCCCACCAACCTCCTCAGTATCTTGAAGAGCAGTATATCAGACCTGGTCTCAAATAATACTTTATCTGTGCTTAATTGAGCTTGCTTGGTGCAATGGAACCAGTAGAATAGTCCCAAAAGTGCAAACCCCGCCCATCTGGCACTACAGGTAGGCTAAAGCAAACGATCACAAGTATTTGAACGATTACAAATAGTAGTCCTATTTAAACCCAATCTGCAGGATATACACTCCAGGGTTCTCCCCAAAGAAGGAAAGAGGGCGCTGCGACACCTTGTGGACTGACTGTGCCACTATAAATAAAATCAAGTTAAGTTTAAAATATATATATATATATATATATATATATATATAAATATATATATTACCATTTGTTATCATTTAAGGTAATTTTGCTCTAGATTGCAGGAAATGGCTGTTACATATGTTTAATAAAGCAAAAATATCTGGGTCAAACCTCCTCCCGCCGTACTCAGCACCACCTTGTTAAAAAACCTTTAGGAGAACTCTGCACTCACTAATACAGAACAATAGCTCTTGATTTTTAAGTTTTCCCAGTGATTTCTTTCAGCTCACTAATACAGAACAATAGCTCTTGATTTTTAAGTTTTCCCAGTGATTTATTTAAGCTAATGTTAAGGCGTCACTGAATAGCCACACGCCAAGACAGTGCCTGATGCTTTAATACCAAAGAGGTTGTAGTACTCCAAGAAAAGCCAAGTGATCTTCTCTAATCACCACATTTTAGCACTTCTCCTTAAGCTCCCAACAATGCACCAGGTGTGGTGAAAGGTATTTATTGGTTTAAAGTTTTTGTGGCATGATGGCTTGTGTAATCAATTGACTAATGATGACTAACAGGTCACAAAACGAGCCAATCCACCCCTTGTCTTTCAGAAACACCAGACACTTCCTTCAGCGTGTTTATTTTAGTTGTTTGAAGAGTTGCACAAATTATAGTTGTAGGTACATTGACATTTACGTTTTTTTTTATGTGACTTCAAATGAAAGCTTTTCATGTTTTTATTGAATGCCATTTACATTCAATTGTCTGGAGTCAAGACATGACATTGTACTTTGTACTCTTGGTAGAGCATGGCGCTTGCAATGCCAATATAGTGTGTTCGATTCCCGGGACCACTGTACGTAAAATGTATGCATGCATGACTCTAAGTCACTTTGGATAAAAGTGTCTGCTAAATGGCATATATTATTTATATACAGTATATTCATTATATAGTCTTGATGTTGTATCCCACTCCTTCTGTTTTCGGCCACTTACTGTTAGAATAGTTAATGTATTGCCACAAATGACCTAAGATAATTGTCACGAAAATCATCCTCACATGACACACTATAATTTATGTCCCTTTTATATTTCCATATTTGAATGTCATTTGAATCTTATTTTTCCCAACCCAATCAACCGCTAGCCTTACGATCTATCTACATATTTCATAAAGCAAATGTCATCTTTTGACATGACTTTTAGGAAATAAAGAGCTGTCATACAAAACGGCATTCATTCTTTCTTCTCTTCTCCTAATGATAATAGCAGCCGTGGTGGACGGTGAACGTCTTTGCAGTAAACGGGAAACAGCGTAGAAAAAAGCCTACTTGACCAGCCAAAGAGTTCACCTAGGAATAAGAGTGTGACGGCGCTAGGTCAGTCATCAGTGCGTATGTCTCAGCACTGAATCAAAGGGGTCTGACTGCCTTCAAAGGATGCATTTATAGGCTGGCTCTGTAATATTTACAGACGTTTTTAGAGAATGTGTTTAATCTGTTTTAATATTCACTGAGGTGACAGATGCTGAAATAGCAACCTTTTCTCATCCACTGTGAAGGTCTGAGGCTTTGTCATAACTTGAAGGACAGATGCACTTAGTCTTATTGTCCCATCTCACAGTCTCATCATTTAATTGTCATGACCATGATAATTACTACAGTGAGCGACTCACAGTTCAATCCAAGCCAGGGTGTGATGGCCACAGGCTCCGCGCTCCACTCTCCCAGTCCTGCGTCACTAGAGTATCAATATGTCTCCTCCCGCTCTCTGAACCCAACCAATACCTCACCTCTCTCTCTACACCCCCCCACCCCCCCCTCTCTCTCTCTCTGACCCCCACCTAACACCCTCTTCTTACTTCTATTGTCAGGGAGGCACGATGTCCCACGATACCCCAGTCGCACCAGTAGAGACACAGTGTTCATACACATTTCTCCACCTCTCTTTGTTCCTTTTGTTCATTTCACACTCATCTCTCTTGAAACAACAGTTTTCAAATACATTCTGGGAATTGTGTCGAAGAGATGTACATTAGCTATAGTCTATTCATTTATAGGGTATGTGCCTTGAGATCAAAGTTTTGCAGCAGATAACCAGATTACAACCAAACATACGTATTTTTCTGGTTGCTAAAAAAACATCAACAAAACGTCCTTTTACAACCTTTTACTAAGTATAACGTCATAAAAGATGTCATAATAACATCATCGCAACCGGTTTTGCATATTGGGATGTGTTCTCTGAGCTCTGACTGAGTATGTTTCTGTCCTTCCTGCCCTGCCCAGATGGAGAGACAGACCCTAATGCAGAACCAGATGAGAGAGAGGCAGATGGCCATGCAGATAGCCTGGTCCAGGGAGTTCCTCAAATACTACAGCACCTTCTTCAGCCTGGCCGCACTAGGCCTCACCATCTGGTGGGTTCTCCATAGAGTTAACTAGGCCTCACCATCGGGTGGGTTCTCCATAGAGTTAACTAGGCCTCAACATCGGGTGGGTTCTCTATAGAGTTAACAAGGCCTCACCATCTGGTGGGTTCTCCATAGAGTTAACTAGGCCTCAACATCGGGTGGGTTCTCTATAGAGTTAACTAGGCCTCACCATCTGGTGGGTTCTACATAGAGTTAACTAGGCCTCACCATCGGGTGGGTTCTCCATAGAGTTAACTAGGCCCACCATCGGGTGGGTTCTCCATAGAATTAACTAGGCCTCAACATCGGGTGGGTTCTCCATAGAGTTAACTAGGCCTCAACATCGGGTGGGTTCTCCAGAGAGTTAACTAGGCCTCACCATCGGGTGGGTTCTCCATAGAGTTAACTAGGCCTCACCATCGGGTTGGTTCTCCATAGAGTTAACTAGGCCTCACCATCGGGTGGGTTCTCCAGAGAGTTAATTAGGCCTCACCATCGGGTGGGTTCTCCATAGAGTTAACTAGGCCTCACCATCGGGTGGGTTCTCCATAGTAAGCTATGCCTACATCATTTTAGTTCACATTAAGCCTGGGTTCTTCAATAGTTAGAGATAGATGATTGATAATGTTTTAATAAAATTATAACATTGCAAAATGAATGTTTTGTTAATAAAGAGACTAATGAAAATGAGATGGACCAAAAAGATGAGGCAACACTTTGTTTGAACTGTATGTCACAATACTGTCATAAACATGTCATAAACATAACATAACATATATAATTACATTGATATTGTTGATGACAATATGATGCCACTATTATGCTGTAATGACTTCAGCGTTAACAGATGGTTTGATGTTCTGAAACGCCATCGCTTGCCCAGCTGAGTGACTGTATTTCCTACCTGTTATGTGCGAGAGAGGCTCAGGGATCTAAAGCGTCAGAGGTGAACTGATTCATGTGAAGTGCGGTGGCCTTTCAAGCCAAATCACTGTTTTACTTAGTGGTGTGATGTGTGCATGCAGTTCATGACCTGTTATTCACATGCAGGTTATAATTCAGTAGTTCCAGATTCATAGTGTTTAATAGTCACATGTGCAGGGTTGCAGGTGTAGTTTCTGGTCATAGGATGACATCTTCATCAAAACAAACAAACACACCATAGAGATAAATACAATGTCGCCCTCGCCCATAATGTTATCAGTGAAGCTAGTTAGTGTGATTTAATTATAAATAAATAATATAAATTGTTTTTAAGCATATCATGATTGCTATAAGTGTTTGTTGATCTCTGTCTTTGGATGCCAACATAAGCCTTGACCATGTTGATAATATAGGCTAAATGTGTGCCCCACCCCTGCAAAAATGTATTTATTGGTTTAGTTTCAAACATTTGAATGATTGTTTTAGGCGTTAGTTGATCTCTGTGACTCTGTATAATGTACCTCTATCCCCCACACTTGCAGTGCCATTAAGAAGAGGAAGCCAGCTCTTTGTCCCTGTCGTACCTCTCATCTTCGATGGACATGGCGTATGGAACGCTTATCTACCGCATGAGGGGTATGTACTTCTCTCTTTACCAAGTGTACTGACAGCTGACAGCTGACCTGAAACGTACTGTGTACACTCTGATATTAGATTTTCACATTGTCCTTTCCAGCACGGTTCCAGAAACTATGCTGGATGCATAACCAGACCAACGCAGTACTGCTAGGCTTGGCTCAGTAGTGTGAAAGGGGTATTAGTCCCTTCTATTTGAGCGCACAATCACGTCTAATAGTGATGTCACCAAAAGATTAGAACAAATGGGGATTAAAATGTCCCCAATTTGAAGACTAAAACCATCTCAAGCAGAAAGAGACAAGAGAGGAATCAATCATGCTTTTATTTGTTTCTCTCTGTCAAACTTCAAACCTCAAACATGCTGTGACATTACAGGCTGTGCCTGGGAAGTGCTTGGGTTCCATGCTCATTAGGTATGGCGAAAGATATTTGTATTCCCTGACCAATCTCCAATCTGGCTGCTTTTGAAGTCACTGCCTGAAGTGTCACCTCTCGCAAAACGACTTAGTTAGATTTTCGTTCAGACAACTAGAAACCTTGCTAGGCATACCCGCCATCAAACGTATTTGAACGTATACATTTAACAGAGTGGCTGCGTTCTCAATTCTCTAGAAGCCTGTTCCCGAGAGCTAAAAATCCTTAACTTCTGCGCATTTTCGGGATTCTCTACTTTACGCACAGTCTCTGCTCAATTCGTTCGGCTGCCCAGAGAACAGGTTACTCTGGCGAATGGTGCTTGTTTAATAAAGTTAGATCAAAGCTGAATCAATGTCTGCAAGATCACATAATGATTGTATTCTACATAACTGAACCGAATATAATAGCATAGTACAACGTAACTGTAAGACAAAAAAAACACCTAATTTCTTATGACATTTGAGGATGATTGTGCGAATGCTCGCATTTTTCTCTCATGCGGGCAGAACTCAACAGCGCGCGACTCTATGCAAAAAATGTGCTTTGATTGAAACAAAACAGAGGTATGGTACAGTTTGTTAACACCATCTGCTCTAAAATTCGCTCACTGTACATAATGCAAAACAACACTGTACTTAACTAAATGCATATTCCCATGAAACTGATTGAGATCAAATGGTTGGCATGCAGATGCTGCATGGACGTTTCACCGGTAAAAGTTGAAGAATTGTCATTCACGCTTTACAGTGAGAAATGTGAAGGGAGGGTGACCACAACAATGTGTGCGTAAAGTAGAGGTAAAGAAACATCATGCAGAACGTGATCCAGATGTTTTGCTCTGAGTGGCGCAGTGGTCTAAGGCACTGCATCACAGTGCTAGCTGTGCCACTAGAGATCCTGGTTCAAATCCAGGCTCTGTCGTAGCCGACTGTGACCGGGAGACCCATGGGGCGGCGCACAATTGGCCCAGTGTCGTCCAGGGTAGGGGAGGGAATGGCCAGCAGGGATGTAGCTCAGTTGGTAGAGCATGGCGTTTGCAACGCCAGGGTTGTGGGTTCGTTTCCCACGGGGGTCCAGTAAAAAAAAAAAAAAAAAATATATATATATATATATATATAATATATGCACTCACTAACTGTAAGTCACTCTGGATAAGAGCGTCTGCTAAATGGCTAAAAAATAAGAAAAGAAAAGGGTTCCAGGGGGGCGGAACTGGCGGTTACCGTCGGAAACGCAGCCTCCGCCTAAATATAACATGAGAAAACAATATTCTTGTACTCAGTTACTACAATATAAGGCAGCTGTAATTTCAACAATACTCGGGCCAGACCACCACATATTAAGTTTAATATCAGTATCTTGGTTGAAAGCAAAATACAACATTTTCGTGATCTTAAAAGAAAAATGGAAAATAAAGTATTATTTTTCTTTGCCTGCTTGTTTTCTTTGCTCTCTGATTGATGTCACTTCCCGTCTGTGTGTGTCCCCCCAGATGAGGCAGAGAGCATAATGGTCTCAGAGCACGACCGATTGGACCTTCCACACGGTGTGGCCAACTTCCCGAGCATTGAGAAGGCAAGAAGAGCCAAGAGCTCCCTGAGCTCCCACTTTGAGAAATGACACCGACACTGTCCTGCCATGGGTGGGTGTTGTTCAGGGTTGTTCACACCTCTGACAGTGAGTGACGCTCCTCCATCCCTAAGATCAATGTTCATCAAGTCTTGGCCTAAGTTATGCTGTGTTTATGTGCTATCTGAATCAGTGGCGGTCGGTGCCATTTAAGATGAGGGAGGACGATTTTTTTTTCTTCATGAGCATGTCCTTATTTCTATTACAGCATATTGTATGACTGTCATTCATATTCCATTCACCCAGTTCAATGTAACAGCAATAGGTTTAGGCTACTACATGATACTCAAATTTTCCCTATAGCCTACCAATCATGAGGTTGCTACAACCTAGCCTATGAATGAACGTTTACAACGTAGGTGCACACAGGTCGAGATAAAAATTTGACATGACTGACAGTGACACATGGACAGACAGTGACACATTCAATACCGCCTTGCACACTCTTGCCTGCATCTAGCTGATCTAGGGTGTAATCATTAGCTCAACAGTTACAAACAAGAGTTTCTATTGGACAAATTCAGGTATGTTTATCCCCGTTTCGTTCCGTTTGCTTCCGTTTAAGAAACGTTTTTCAACAGAATCGGCAGAATGAATACACCCCTGATCACGCGTAAACACAGTTCACTTCCATAGCAGCCACGTTGTATTCCTTCTCGCATCTATGCGCTCTCCTCCTCTCACCTTTTCCCTTCGTTTGTGGACTTCAATGCACAACACATGCTGTATGTGACCAGGAGTATGTGACCTTTCCAAGCCAAACAATATCATAACCGCTATACACAGCCTACATCGTTGTCACCATATTAGCTAAAGTAACGTCATAGTCAACATAGCTAATAGAACTAACGTGTTAGTAAACCCGCTATATTCATGCAGTAACGTTACAGTGTAAGCAGTTTAGCAGTTACACCGGCAGGCCCTGGTGGCAATAAATGAGTAAAACCAAAAGCTTACCTTGTCTTTGAAGAGTTCCAGTATTGTGTTGGATAGTAATAGCCAGCTAGCTAACATAGCATCCCTCTGTTTGAGCAGGGTGTTTGAGTAGGCTAAACTAGCTAGCTGCATTTGCTCGTTAAGTGAAACTGAAAGTGAAAAAAATGACGAATTCTGTCTCTCTATCTCTTGCTTCTCCTTCATTTTTAAAGAAATTAATTTGTTCAAAACTGTTCAACTATTGTCTTTCTCTCTCTTTGAGTCAACTACTCACCACAGTTTATGCACAGCAGCGCTAGCTAGCTGTAGCTTATGCTTTCAGTACTAGATTCATTCTCTGATCCTTTGATTGGGTGGACATCACGTCAGTTCATGCTGCAAGAGCTCTGATAGGTTGGAGGATGTCCTCCGGATGTTGTCATAATTACTGTGTATGTCAATGGAAGGGGGTGAGAACCATGAGCCTCCTAGGTTTTGTATTGAAGTCAGTGTACCCAGAGGAGGATGGAAGCTAGCTGTCCTCCGGCTACACCATGGTGCTACCCTACAGAGTGCTGTTGAAGCTACTGTAGACCTTTTAATAAATTATTTGGTGACGTGAATATATTTAGTGTTGTTTTATCTAAAAATGAGAACTTTTTAAATGTTCCTCTGAGGAGCCTCCACTGATCGGAATGATTGGAAACTCTGTCCCGTAAAACTCCAGACAGACATCTAAAACTGTTGATAATGATCTTCTAAGTGTTATATACGTGTGGGAAACTTGGGTAGCATCATAGCCAGATATATATTTTTGAGTTTTCGATTATCCCAAATGCAAAATATTACAGCCAGCCATGCATAGAGGACACTTATTGTGGTGAACTAGGAATGATTGTTGAACATAGCTGTACATTGAACATAGCAGTACATTGAACATAGCAGTACATGGAACATAGCAGTACATTGAACATAGCAGTACATTGAACATGGCAGTACATTGAACATAGTATGTAACCTATTCATGGAACATTTGTTTTTCAATACTGATGTCAGACGATATGTACATCATACGATTGTCTGTCCAATGGATCAGGTGGATATTTCTCTTGACAAAGTTTACTTTCTCAAATAGACAAAATCATATCCATCCATTTCCACAGAAATTATTCATTTTCTGCTGTCATAGTACCTTCTCCACACACACACACATGGGGTCAGTTTTTAGCCTGTCATCCTTTACAAACACAGATTGATTATTGTAGATTAAGATTTGATTGGAGCCAGTCTCAGGTGTGTAGCTCTGAGCTGTTTCTCTAGAACCACACCAAACCAAAACACTGATCTTTCACTGTAATTCTGCCATATGAAAGAAATTATACTCGGAATACGTGAAGAAAAAAATTATAATATATGAGGTCATTCATTATTACGCATCTAAGTGTGTGTGCGTGCGTGAGAGCGAGCATGTTGGGGAGGGAGGGGGGTTGGCATCAGGTGGATGTGTATGGAGAGTAGGGTATCATGACTGGCACACAAGATGGTGAGGGGCTAGAGACTATAAAAGCTGGACCAGTAGCAAACAGATCACAAGAAGCACCAAATGGTAGCGAGAGAGTCACTTCATGATATCCTACTGAAGTCTACATTGACAGAGAACGTTGACTGATAGAGCAGTAACAGCATCTAAAGAAACTCTTCACACTCGCACCAGGACCGCACAGTAGGGCAACTTCAGTTAATCTCTACAAGGAAACCAGCTCTACTTCTTTAACTGAAAATGCCTCTAAAGCTTACTACTGTGATCCTTGTGTGTGTTGGTAGTTTGTTCTTGTGTGCGAGCGCTCAAAGCCTATCGAGAGACTACGGGGTGAAACTGTGCGGAAGAGAGTTTATAAGAGCCGTTATCTTCACGTGCGGCGGGTCGCGTTGGAAACGGTCCTTAGATGAAGACTTGGGTACGTAGGCTGAAACATAATTTACGGTCTTATAAATGCAAACACTCGTCAGTCATGTTGAACTGGTCAAATTGATTTTTATTCACAGCTGCTGTAAGAGTTAAGTTATAATATTGTTACTTTCATGCTAACGTTTTTGAAAGCTGCATTTTTTTGTTTTACTTTAACATGAGCTACATTGATAATTTCCATTGTGTAAAAGTTAAAACAGTAGCTATATTCTCAAATCAAAGTTTATTTTTTTACGTTTCGAAGATGGTCGCATTTTTGGAAATAGTATTTTGCCTGAGAGAACGCCTGAGAAACCTCTCTGCTTGATAATGCCACTTCAGCACCACAGACAGCTCCTTGATTAGAAAACGAGACAACAGGGAGCTCTGCTTTTTACTGAGAAGTAGCCTAATTGAAATGCAATCATAGGCTAATTTGTAATTTCCTATTCAAAAGGTGGTTCAGAGCGCTTTTTTTATTTAGCCAGGTGGGTCTGCAAGGCACTCCGCATGGTTTCTGAGAGAGATCGCTATCCATGCAGAAACAGTCTAGGACCTCTGATTTTCACTTAAATTAATTGTTGGGGTGTCTTGACACAGGGTGGGAAAAGTTAAAAAATAACCCAACTCATTTTGTATTTTGGAGGGATTTTCAGTCATTTTATGTATTCACTTTACAGTCTATACAGTGGAGATAAAACAAAAAAAAATGTGTCTCCCCACTGACTGTCCCACTCCCTCCCCCTGTTCTGTTCGGACTCCTTCCAGATCCCTTCCAGCCCGGTTCCTACAGTGATGTCACAGAGGGCGAGAACAACAGAATTAACTGGCCTCACGGACATGGTCTGGATCAAGCAGCAGCAGCAGCAGACCACCCTCTCCAGCTCTCCTCCTCCACCTCCCTGGCAGACCTCCTCTCACTCTTGGGCGGAGTGGGGGACCATAGGGGGTCAATGGTTGATGTCGACCCCAGCGAGGGGCTTCAGAACCAGGCTTCAGTGCTGGGAGGAGTGGCCAGGAACCCAAGCATCAACTGGCCACGCCGCGAAAGACAAAAGAGGAACTTTTCCCTGGGCTTAGCTGGCATGTGCTGCAACCAGGGCTGCACTAAGAATGACATTGGGCGTCTGTGCTGAGTGAGACTGGGGCAGGACAGAGGAGGTGGACACAGGCTGAGGGAGCTTGCCCTTTACAGAACGGAGAACGTTGCTCAAATTCTCCTTTCTATACAGGGCGAGGAGAGCTCCACCTTCTCTCTGTGTTGTTGGACTGGGTGTGAGGGAGACAGCAGTTTTACGTTTTCATTTCAGTGTTCCAAGAGAATCACGATCATAAGGTTTGGGTTGTTGATGGGGGAAATTTCAACACAGGCTAGCAAATGGCTTTGTACACTTTTCTGTATAATGTGAAAGGAAAATATTTTGCATTTAATTTTCATTATTTCTCAAATTTTGTCTCATCATTAAATGAATTACTTCGTTACTGAAGCAAGAGCATCATTGTACTTCCCTGAGGAATACAATTGTTTGAATGACATGAAAAATGTTTCCCCCCTAACAACCCACCACAAATACCCCATTAAAACACTGAGAAAATATGTTGTGTATGTAAATGTTAAACTAATCAAATATCAATATAAAGTATCTTTTGGAAATCGAATCTTGTCCAAGTCAAAATGTCTCATCCACTCAATGGAAAATCTACAAATGTGCTAGCTATATAATGATATTGCATGGAAAGAACATATTGGTATTTATTATTCTAATAAAAAATAACAAAAATAATGTGTGCATTCTACCAGAGGTAAAACCACATTATTGGCCATTAATCGCCTCACCTTCCTCAGACCAAGCTAACTGTAACTGACGACATGGAAACAGTGCAGGCAATAAGGAAATTCCCTTGTTATGGATTATCAGCATTTTTTTAGCTCCTTTCTCCCTCCACTACACTCCTGGTTCACCATGGAAACGATAACACAGTTAGCTAGTGGGCCGGACTCTGACATGCAGCCAGCTGTATTTAGTCAGCCGTGAGGGCAGGCGGATCCATCAGTCACAATCATGGTTATTTCAATGACTACCACGCTTCTACGGAACATTGGTTACACTTACTACTACCACCACCAGGGGCACAACTTTCACTGGAATGCGATACAAAACGAGGCAAAGGTGTGCTTTAGGACCACGCGGACCCCTCCGAGCGGTGTGGTAGGCTGTTTATAGTGTTTATCCAACTGAAAAAATAAAAATGATGTCCCCTTCCACTTCTAAAACCAAAGTTGCGCCCCTGACCACCACCACTACTAAGGCGTACCTGTGACAGATCTCAAAGCTGGTTTACTCATGACGATTCAACCCCATTTAGCCTCAAAGCGATCATGAAAGACCATTGCCTATATTTTACCTGTAATTGACAACAGACCAGTCAAGGCATTGAGGAGACAAGTCTCTCTCAGGAGGAGCTGCGAGCATCTTCACCATGTCTCTCACAGGAGGAGCTGCGAGCATCTTCACCATGTCGCGCTCATGTGGAGCTCCGAGCATCTTTACCATGTGTAAAGGATCTTTGAGAGCTGACTAGTGTGGATGGAGACGTTAACAGAGACGAGCCACTGTTCAAGCTAATGTTTGATGTGAGGCAAGACAGGATGACTACAACCAAATAACATGGCAGTTCAATTTTTATAGTGGCTCTCTTATAAACAAATAAAACAAGGTCACCCAAACCAACAAAAGCCATTTCTGACCAGTTCTGCAACAACATCCCCTTTAATATTATATATACAATATTGTGTGACTGCTTTGATATAAAATAGCAGATATTTTACAATCAATTTAGCCTAAGCATTATTATTAATATTCAACAACAGCACATTTACGTTCAACACACAAAAACAGGTAAATACTGGCTTGCATAAATATGAAGAAAATATATATATTTTTAAATTCACTTTCCACTTCTTCATGATCATGTGTTATAATTTTTTTAATGAAAAAACAACAAATCTTCACACAAAACACTAACCTTGACATGACGGCATCATGTATGACTGTCAGCACGGCTGCCATAAGAACAACAACATTAAATAAAAGGAAGACAGAAACAAACAAGCAGACAGATTAAACCAGGGTTCCCCAACAGGCGGCCCGTGGGCAGAATTTGGCCCACGGGTGGTTTTATTTGGCCCCCCAAGTTTTGAGCAAAATTGTATTTGTATTTTTTGGGGGTGGGGAATTTTTATTGTTGGCCATGAAAGACTGTACAAAAACACCAGAAAATCAGCTCCAAGTGATTTTTATGTAAGAAATCTGTTCCCAACTATTCCCACGCATAATAGAGAGACACGACGCGATCGTATACAAATGTAAGCAAGGTTTGAAATTATTATGTTTTAGTCAAACATATCTGTTTGGGCATCTTGCGGTCAATTTGCAGTTTACAAATGATTTGTAATTATGTTTCAGCACCCCGACTATCCGCTCAAGAAAAAGGAATCGGCCCGTGGCTGTGTCTAGTTGATGATCCCTGGATTAAACTCCATTATTACAATAGAGTAGTGGGTCAAACAAAGCCTGTCACCCCACATTGCTTTACAGCTACAGACCATAGAGTCACGCTGACAGAATTAAAGAGAGCATTATATTGCATCTTTTTGGTCTTGTTCTTCACGGTGACAGTATGGACAAGTCACAGGACAACAAGTCTATTTTTTGACGGGGGGTACTTTATGTTGTGTCACACCAGATAGGTGCAGTGAAATGTGCTGTTTTAAAAAGGGTCAACCACAGTAGTACAGTGCCCCTGGAGCAAATTAGGGTTAAGTACCTTGCTCAAGGGCACATCGACAGATTTTTCACCTTGTCGGCTCGGATATTCCAACCAGAGACCTTTCACTCTAACCACTAGGCTACTTGCCGCCCTACTTGCATACGCGCTTAAATGTCCTTGAAGTGAAATTCCACCTCGTCTCTGCACTTCTCTTCTGTTGATGCTTTCATATACACCCTTTAGTCAGTCTCATTCCAGATATTGCTATGTAGCAGGCTCTTTGACAACACTATAATGAAGACTACACTCCTGAGTGGCGCAGTGGTCTAAGGCACTGCATCGCAGTGCTAACTGTGCCACTAGAGATCCTGGTTCGAATCCAGGCTCTGTCGCAGCCGGCCGCGACCGGGAGACTCATGGGCGGCGCACAATTGGCCCAGCGTCGTCCAGGGTAGGGGAGGGAATGGCCGGCAGGGATGTAGCTCAGTTGATAGAGCATGGCGTTTGCAACGCCAGGGTTGTGGGTTCGATTCCCACGGGGGGCCAGTATAAAAAAATAATAATTGTATTCACTAACTGTAAGTCGCTCTGGATAAGAGCGTCTGCTAAATGACTAAAATGTAAATGTAAGACATTATTTTACAACTGGCTGTGCACAGCACACTAGACTCTTCAAGTTATAGAATTTTCTAAAAGGGGAAGAACATAAGTCAACAATTCCTTCTGCATGTTACTTTGCAATAGCCCAAGCTTTCATCCTTTGTGAAACATCTCCCTTCATAGTTTTTTTCATCACCATTTTGTCCACATCTTTGTGTCTCTAAAAGCAGTATTACTTTATTAGTCCTTCCCTTGGGTGAAAAAGATAAATCCACTTCAGTTAAGGAGGGAGGCAGTTGAACACTTTTTACTAACTGTACAGTACATCTTCTGTATTGCTTTCCCTCACGTGCATTCTGTGCTGCCGTTAACACATCATCAACAGCTGGGTGTTCTGTGCTGCCGTTAACACATCATCAACAGCTGGGTGTTCTGTGCTGCCGTTAACACATCATCATCAACAGCTGGTTGTTCTGTGCTGCCGTTAACACATCATCATCAACAGCTGGGTGTTCTGTGCTGCCGTTAACACATCATCATCAACAGCTGGGTGTTCTGTGCTGCCGTTAACACATCATCATCAACAGCTGGGTGTTCTGTGCTGCCGTTAACACATCATCATCAACAGCTGGGTGTTCTGTGCTGCCGTTAACACATCATCAACAGCTCGTTGTTCTGTGCTGCCGTTAACACATCATCATCAACAGCTGGGTGTTCTGTGCTGCCGTTAACACATCATCAACAGCTGGGTGTTCTGTGCTGCCGTTAACACATCATCATCAACAGCTGGGTGTTCTGTGCTGCCGTTAACACATCATCATCAACAGCTGGGTGTTCTGTGCTGCCGTTAACACATCATCATCAACAGCTGGTTGTTCTGTGCTGCCGTTAACACATCATCATCAACAGCTGGTTGTTCTGTGCTGCCGTTAACACATCATCATCAACAGCTGGTTGTTCTGTGCTGCCGTTAACACATCATCATCAACAGCTGGTTGTTCTGTGCTGCCGTTAACACATCATCATCAACAGCTGGTTGTTCTGTGCTGCAGTTAACACATCATCAACAGCTGGTTGTTCTGTGCTGCCGTTAACACATCATCATCAACAGCTGGGTGTTTGTTCTGTGCTGGAGTGAGTCTGAGACCAGAGCATGACAGAAGTAAAACAGTGAAAACATCTCAAAATTGAGAAAAGACGGCAACAAAGTAACAGCATGCGGTCATTTCAGAGATTCCTCGAATCCCTGAAAAGGTGGGTAGGTATGCACACAAAGTAGACCGTTCTTGAGACTTTCTCCCAGAATGCCTTTGGTAATACTCCCCGTTTGCTGCTCCTCTCTGCTCCAGAAGACCATTGGGTCTGGTGACTTCATTGTTGTCTTTAGAGTTGAGGCGTTGTCAGGGATGTACTCATTAGGGCACACCGTAGCAAAAGGCTTTGCAACGGAAAAGGAAAACAAGTGTTTCTTATTGGACAAGTTCAGGTAATCCCTTTCAGTCCGTTTGGTGCCTAATGAACACGACCCAGGTGATCGATGTGGGCTGGGGCAGGTTCCCTCCAGCAGAGACCTCCAGGAAGGGATCCTCAACCCTCCTTACTGTCCCGGAATATGTCCACACTCTGGGCTAACTTCTTGAAGGTGGGCCGCAGGGCTGGGTCAACGTTCCAGCACTCCATCATCATGTGGTTAATCTGAAGGGTACAGAGGGAGGCTCAAGGTTACATTGCAATCAGAGGTACACTAAAACAGACAGACAGACAGACAGACTCACCTCCTCCGGGCAGCCCTTGGGAGCAGGCAGTCTGTATCCTCTCTTCAGGAGATCTATGAGATGATACACTATCATCTGGCCCTGCTTGTCACTGCCCATCTTATCCATGAACACCTGGAAAGGAGGAGGAAGGGGAGGATGAGAAAGAGGGGGAGGAAGAGGATGAGGGGGAAGAGGGGAGGAGGAGGAAGAGGAGGAGAAGGAGGAAGAGGAGGAGAAGGAGGAAGAGGAGGGGGCAGGAGGAGGGAGAGGAGGGGGCAGGAGGAGGGAGAAGAGGGGGCAGGAGGAGGGAGAAGAGGGGGAGGAGGAGGGGGTAAGAACTGAGTTAATTACAGCATCAAATACAGTTTAAGGATGGCAAGTAAACTAGTCAAATTTGCAAAGGGAAATGCTTCAGTGTAATTTCCGATTAACTGGAAATTACACATACAGAGACCACATGGGACAAGAAAGAGTCTGGAATAGCCATAATTATGACTATAAAAAGTCTTATTCAAGCTCTTTCCACAGTAAGCAGCATCAAAGAGAGAAAGGTTGATGGAGACAGAGGAGGGATCAAAGCAACAGAGATGAAAAGTGATAGTGTGAGGTTGAAGAAGAGGAACAACAGTATAGACTGAGAGACGTACTGCTGGAGGACTGCAGTTCTTGTCACTGTGAGTGAACAGCTCATAGAGGACCACTCCAAAGCTCCACACATCAGAGCCCACTGAAAACTTGCTCTCTGTCAGAGACTCCGGGGCATACCTTCAACACAACAAAGGTCAAATAAGCTCACACATCAAATAAATCTAAATACATACACTACAGGTCAAAAGTTTTAGAACACCTACTCATTCAAGGGTTTTTCTTTATTTTTACTATTTTCTACATTGTAGAATAATAGTGAAGACATCAAAACGTTGAAATAACACATGGAATCATGTAGTAACCAAAAAACTGTTAAACAAATAAAAATATATTTCAAATAGCCACCCTTTGTCTTGATGACAGCTTTGCACACTCTTGGCATTCTCTCAACCAGCTTCATGAGGTAGTCACCTGGAATGCATTTCCAATTAACAGGTGTGCCTTCTTAAAAGTTCATTTGTGGAATGTCTTTCCTTCTTAATGCGTTTGAGCCAATCAGTTGTGTTGTGACAAGGTAGGGGGGGTATACAGAAGATAGCCCTATTTGGTAAAAGACCAAGTCATATTATGGCAAGAACAGCTCAAATAAGCAAAGAGAAATGACAGTCCATCATTACTTTAAGACATGAAGGTCAGTCAATATGGAACATTTCAAGAATTTTGAAAGTTTCTTCAAGTGCAGTCGCAAAAACCATCAAGCGCTATGATGAAACTGGCTCTCATGAGGACCGCCACAGGAATGGAAGACCCAGAGTTACCTCTGCTGCAGAGGATACGTTCATTCGAGTTACCAGCCTCAGAAATCGCTGTCCAAATAACAGACACATCTCAACATCAACTGTTCAGAGGAGAATGTGTGAATCAGTCCTTCATGGTAGAATTGCTGCAAAGAAATCACTACTAAAGGACACCAATAATAATAAGAGACTTGCTTGGGCCAAGAAACACGAGCAATGGACATTAGACCAGTGGAAATCTGTCCTTTGGTCTGGAGTCCAAATTGGAGATTTTTGGTTCCAACCGCCGTGTCTTTGTGAGACGCGTTGTGGGTGAACAGATGATCTCTGCATGTGTATTTCCCACCGTAAAGCATGGAGGAGGAGGAGGTGTTATGGTGTGGTGGTGCTTTGCTGGTAACACTGTCTGTGATTTATTTAGAATTCAAGGCACACTTAACCAGCATGGATACCACAGCATTCTGCAGCATTACGCCATCCCATCTGGTTTGCGCTTAGTGGGAATATTATTCGTTTTTCAACAGGACAATGACCCAACACACATCCAGGCTGTGTAATGGCTATTTTACCAAAGAGAGTGATTGAGTGCTGCGTCAGATGACCTGGCCTCCACAATCCCCTGACCTCAACCAAATTGAGATGGTTTGGGATGAGCCGGACAGCAGAGTGAAGGAAAAGCAGCCAACAAGTGCTCAGCATATGTGGGAACTCCTTCAAGACTGTTGGAAAAGCATTCCAGGTGAAGCTGGTTGAGAGAATGCCAAGAGTGTGCAAAGCTGTCATCAAGGCAAAGGGTGGCTATTTGAAGAATCTCAAATATAAAATATATTTTGATATGTTTAACACTTTTTTTGGTTACTACATGATCCCATATGTGTTATTTAATAGTTTTGATGTCTTCACTATTATTCTACAATGTAGAAAATAGTAAAAAATAAAGAAAAATCCTTGAATGAGCAAGGGTTCTAAAACTTGAAAGTTCTAAAACTTTTGACCGGTAGTGTAGATAGAGGATTGTGTCAGAAAAACCCAGATTATTTTAAAATCAGGAAGAAATATATCCCTGATTCATTCAAAAGGCTTTGAATTGTATTTGTATTTATTAGGGATCCCCATTAGTTCCTGCTAAGGCAGCAGCTACTCTTCCTGGGGTCCAAACACATTAAGGCACTTACATTACATATAAAACAGTACATCATATAACATTATTACACCACTACATATCTACAATACAACATGTATAATACCACCATACAACAATACTACAATGTACGTGTGTTTGTAGAGTGCGTGCGCTAACGTTTGTGTGCGTATGCGTGTCTGTACCTTTGTGTGTGTCTCTTCACAGTCCCCACTGGTTCATAAGGTGTATTTTTATATGTTTATACTGCTTGCATCAGAAAAAAAAAACCCTTGGGCAGAAAAGAAGAATTCCCCAGGGCAGCTGTCTAGGCCCCGTACTTTTTTCAATCTTTACTAAAGACGTGCCACTGGCTTTGAGTAAAGCCAGTGTGTCTATGTATGCGGATGACTCAACACTATACACGTCAGCTACTTCAGCGACTGAAATGACTGCAACACTTAACAAAGAGCTGCAGTTAGTTTCAGAATGGGTGGCAAGAAATAAATTAGTCCTAATAATTTCAAAAACTAAAAGCATTGTATTTAGGACAAATCATTCACTAAACCCTAAACCTCAACTAAATCTTGTAATGAATAATGTGGAAATTGAGCAATTTGAGGTGACTAAACTGCTTGGAGTAACCCTGGATTGTAAACTGTCATGGTCAAAACATATTGATACAACAGTAGCGAAGATGGGGAGAAGTCTGTCCATAATAAAGCGCTGTTCTACCTTCTTAACAGCACTATCAACAAGGCAGGTCCTACAGGCCCTAGTTTTGTCGCACCTGGACTACTCTTTAGTCGTGTGGTCAGGTGCCACAAAGAGGGACTTAGGAAAATTACAATTGGCTCAGAACAGGGCAGCACGGCTGGCCCTTAAAAGTACACGGGGAGCTAACAATGATATGCATGTCAATCTCTCATGGCTCAAAGTGGAAGAGAGATTGACTTCATCACTACTTGTTTTTGTAAGAAGTGTTGACAAGCTGAATGTACCGAGCTGTCTGTTTAAACTACTAGCACACAGCTCGGACACCCATGCATACCCCACAAGACATGCCACCAGAGGTCTCTTCACAATCCCCAAGTCCAGAACAGACTATGGGAGGCGCACAGTACTACATAGAGCCATTACACTACATGGAACTCTATTCCACATCAGGTAACTGATGCAAGCAGTAGAATCAGATTGAAAAAAATACACTTTATGGAACAGCGGGGACTGTGAAGAGACACACACAAAGGTACAGACACACGCACTCTACACACACGTACATTGTAGTATTGTTGTATGGTGGTATTATACATTTTGTATTGTAGATATGTAGTGGTGTAATAATGTTATATGATGTACTGTTTTATATGTAATGTAAGTGCCTTAATGTGTTTGGACCCCAGGAAGAGTAGCTGCTGCCTTGGCAGGAACTAATGGGGATCCCTAATAAATACAAATACACCCTCTGTGTTCTGTTAGACAGGTAACTATTTATCCACAATATAGCAGGGGGTGTAAAGCCATAACGCATACGTTTTTTCCAGCAGCAGACTATGATCGATAATGTCAAAAGCCGCACTGAAGTCTAACAAAACAGCCCCCACAATCTTTTCATCATCAATTTCTCTCAGTCAATCATCAGTCATTTGTGTAAGTGCTATGCTTGTTGAATGTCTTTCCCTATAAGCATGCTGAAAGTATGTTGTCAATTTGTTTACTGTATCTGGTCAAACTGGTCAATTTTTTCCAAAAGTTTACTAAGGATTGGTAACAGGCTGATTACTGACTCAAATAGCTGACCAAAGGGGGCTTTACTATTCTTAGGTAGCGGAATGACTTTAGCTTCCCTCCAGGCCTGAGTATATAGATATAAGAGATGTTGGAGGGAAACAAACGTATGATTCTCCCCCGCCTACTAAGAGAAGTTGCTGTATCTTTTCTCACCAGAAGATGGGGCTCTCTCCCGGCTCTCTGACAGTGTAGTACTCCTTGTCCTGAGGCAGGACCTTGGTGAGGCCAAAGTCTCCTATCTTCACCCTCAGCTCACTCTCTACCAGGATGTTACGGGTGGCCAGGTCTCTGTGGATGTAGCGCTTGGTCGCCAGGTAGTCCATACCCTACAGACGTGATCACACAGGTAGAGGGTAAGGCTGTTGTTTTACAATGGGAAACACTAAGGATGTTCCACAAACATGATCCACATACCTCAAATAGATATTTATATCTATATACATACCTCTCAAATAGATATTGATAATATAGATATTAACTGATGGTTCAATTCATTGTAAGAGAGATTTATTTCCACCTGTTTCTTTTGACCTCAGTAATGATGAGCAGCAGTGATGACATAACATCAATCAATCACCATCATCATTTGACTGATTGATGGTATAACATACCATCCTCCATCCAGCTGTTTTTACAGTATTACAGAAGTACAGGAGTAGTGTACCTTGCAGATCTGTGAGGCGTAGTGCAGAAGCTTCTTGTAGTCGAAGCAGCCCTTGTTCTTGATGAGGTAGTCCCTCAGACTGCCGTAAGGGAGGTACTCCATGATGAGACGCAGGTTCCTCCGGCCTGGGAATAGGGGAGGGAGAGGGTCAGACAGGCACCCAACAGAGAGAGAGAGGGTCAGACAGGAACCCAACAGAGAGAGAGAGAGAGGGGGGGGGTCAGACAGGAACCCAACAGAGAGAGAGAGAGAGAGAGAGAGAGAGAGGGTCAGACAGGCACCCAACAGAGAGAGAGAGAGAGAGAGGGTCAGACAGGAACCCAACAGAGAGAGAGGGAGAGGGGGGGGGGGGGGGGGGGGTCAGACAGGAACCCAACAGAGAGAGAGAGAGAGGGGGGGGGGGTGGGGTCAGACAGGCACCCAACCAGAGAGAGAGAGAGAGAGAGGGTCAGACAGGCACCCAACAGAGAGAGAGGGGGCACAGAACCCAACAGGAGAGAAGAGGGAGAGAGAGAGAGAGATGGGAAAGGGGGGGGGGTGTCAGACAGTGCACCCACAGAGGGAGAGAGAGAGAGGGGGGGTCAGACAGGCACCCAACAGAGAGAGAGAGAGAGAGGGGGGGGGGGGGGTCAACAGGAACCCAACAGAGAGAGAGAGAGAGGAGAGAGGGTCAGACAGGAACCCACAGAGAGAGAGGGAGAGGGGGGGGGGGTGGGTGTCAGACAGGCACCCATACAGAGAGAGAGGAGAGAGAGAGAGAGAGAGAGAGAGGGTCAGACAGGCACCCAACAGAGAGAGAGGGGGGCAGACAGGAACCCAACAGAGAGAGAGGGGGGGGGGGGGGGGGGGGGGGGGGGGGGGTCAGACAGAAACCCAACAGAGAGAGAGGGTCAGACAGGAACCCACAGAGAAAGAGAAAGGTCAGACAGGAACCCAACAGAGAGAGGGGGGACCATAGAGAGAGAGAGGAGGGGGGTCAGACAGGAACCCAACAGAGAGAGAGAGAGAGAGAGAGAGATAGAGAGAGAGAGAGGGGGGGGGGGGGGTCAGACAGAAACCCAACAGAGAGAGAGGGTCAGACAGGAACCCAACAGAGAGAGAGGGTCAGACAGGAACCCAACAGAGAAAGAGAGAGGGTCAGACAGGAACCCAACAGAGAGAGAAAGAGAGAGAGAGAGAGGGTCAGACAGGAACCCAACAGAGAGAGAGAGAGAAGAGGGGGGGTCAGACAGAACCCAACAGAGAGAGAGAGAGAGAGAGAGAGAGAGAGAGAGAGAGAGAGAGAGAGAGAGAGAGAGAGAGAGAGAGAGAGAGAGAGAGAGAGAGAGAGAGAAAGAGAGAGAGGGTCAGACAGGAACCCAACAGAAAGAGAGAGAGAGAGAGAGAGAGAGAGAGAGAGAGAGAGAGAGAGAGAGATAGAGAGAGAGAGAGAGAGAGAGATAGAAGAGAGAGAGAGTAGGAAGAGGAGAGAGAGAGAGAGAGAGAGAGAGAGGGTCAGACAGGAAGCCAGCAGAGAGAGAGGGTCAGACAGGAAGCCAACAGAGAGAGAGGGTCAGACAGGAAGCCAACAGAGAGAGAGGAGATCAGGGTGTTATTCAGTAGGGATAACTGTTGTTAAATGGAGAGCTACTGCCTGAACTTGTCCAATAAGAACAGATTTTGGTTTTACCTTGCAAAATGTTTTGTTACAGTGTACCCTACTGCAAGGGGTTTTCAAGCCTCTCTTCACGGACACCCAGCCGCTCCTGATTGAACTGGTCAACTAGGGCTCCTGAGTGGCACTGCATCTCAGTGCTTGAGGTGTCACTACAGACCCCCTGGTTCGATTCCAGGCTGTATCACAACCGGCCGTGATTGGGAGTCCCATAGGGCGGCGCACACTTGACCCAGCGTCGTCCGGGTTTGGCCGGTGTAGGCCGTCATTGTAAATAAGAATTTGTTCTTAACTGACTTGCCTAGTTAAATAAAGGTAACATTTTTATTTTGTTATCAAGACCCTGATTAGGTAAATCAGTGAGCTAGTTCAGGGCTACAACAAAATTGTGAAATGTCTGGGGGTCCTAGAGGAAAGGTTTGAAAACCGCTGCACTACTCAACACAACCCTAGCCCATTTTTCACTAAATGGACAGGATGCACTGATCCCCCTGCCTTGGTGATTTAAGTTACTCTAGTCATGATGGTCAATCTCACCAGCACTGTAGCACACTCCCTTGTACTTGACGATGTTGTCATGTTGAAGGGACTTGAGGATCTCGATCTCCCGTTCAAAGTCTCGGAGGTGTTCTGCTGTGCTGTGCTGCAGCTTCTTGACTGCCACCACCTCCCCTGTGTTATCCTGCAGAGGGTCATACCTACACATCTCCACACTGCCAAAGTTACCCTGAAAAAGAGAGAGAGAGAGAGAGAGAGAGAGAGAGGGAGGGAGAGAGAGGGAGGGAGAGATAGAGAAAGAGAGCAAGGGAGAGATAGAGAGGGAGAGAGAGGGGGAGAGCGGGGGAGAGCGAGAGAGATAGAGAGAGTAAGTGAGCGAGAGAGACAGAGGGAGATGTAATGATGTAAAAGAGAGAAAAATAAGTGGGGGGGGGGGCAGTGAACAAAAGAAAGAGGTTGAGAAAAAAAGGAATCAATGACATATTGGGATGACAGTGTGATAGAGACAGAGTGGCGGTGTGTGTGTGTGTGTTGTCTAACCTTGCCCAGCTGCTTGAGGAAGATGAGATGTCTCTCTTCAAACTGAGCAGGGTCTTGGTTCTCAAAAGCCCCTGGGAACCCAAACCCTCTGGTCCTGTTGGGCACCATGTCACTCTCCACCAGCAACTCATAGTCTGGAGCAGGAGACAGGACAGAACACAATTAACACCTTCTGTAAACAAACCCCCCAAAAATATACGCTAATCTGGCAGACATTTTTACCCAAAAAGAGTCATAGAACTGTCAACATTGACAGTGACCCATAGCCTATGTTCTATATTATATATATATATATATATGACTAGAGTTACATGTTTGTCGGTCTGCAGAAAAGTAGAAAGAGGAGGAGGCAACCAACCAGGAGTAAAGAGGCTGTTGAGGTCTCTGATGACAGCTCTGAAGGAGGGTCTGTTGGACGGCTCATAGTCCATACAGCTGTTGATCAGGTTGGCCAGCTCTGTCCATTTAGGAGCAGGCAGCTGGTGGTGGTCTTCGTAGAACAGGCGTTTCTACAGAGGACAATAAGACTACATTAACTATGGCCTATAACAGAGGAACATAACTCTTTATTCTTTACTCTTCGTAATACTTTACTATAATACATTATAATGCAGTTAGGCTCCTGCTCTACGGACCGTATTAGAATTATAGAACAATATATAACTATTACCATCATGAATAAAACTGTTCATTGCACAACCACAACAACAGCACCTCCAGCAGTCCCTACCTTGGAGCAGTCCAGCGTGCTGAGTGGTTTGTCACCTCCACTACAGATCTCCCACAGAGTGGTGCCGAAGGCCCACTTATCTGAAGCCAGAGTCAGATGTCTGGGCTCCTCTATACACTCTGGAGGCACCCAGGGGATCCGCTCCACAAGGACTGGAGGGGCGGCGGAGGAGAGGAGAGTGGGATGTGTTGGACACAGACATTAAAAGATACTCCCTTCCTGAGCTACTGTTCTTGTTTGTTTGAGCGCCGTATGCTTTTAGCTGCCAATGTACACAGTGTACAAAACATTAAGAACACCTTCCTAATATTGAACACCCCTTTTGCCCTCAGAACAGCCTCAATTCGTCGGGGCATGGACTCTACAAGGTGTCGAAAGCGTTCCACAGGGATGCTGGCCCATGTTGACTCCAATGCTTCCCACAGTTGTGTCAAGTTGGCTGGATGTCCTTTGGGTGGTGGACTATTCTTGATACACACGGGAAACGGTTGAGCGTGAATAACCCAGCAGCGTTACAGTCCTTGACACAAACCGGTGCGCCTTGCACCTACTACCATACCCCGTTCAAAGGCACTTACATATTTTGTCTTGCCCATTCAACATCTGAAGTGCAATTTTCTTAGTACAGTATCTCTTTGTAATAACTGATACAAGGGCTGGTGCTCACCATCTTTGGGCAGCACAGTGATGCTGATTCCAGGGTCACTCAGTTTGATGAAGGGGGGGTTCCCAGTCTTCCTGTCCTCCTCTCGGATCAACAGGACGTTCTTGGCGCACACGTTCCCATGGACCAGGTTCTTATCCTCCTGTTATAGAATTGAATATGACGGACAGATTTGTGGCAGATTGAACACAAAAGTAACACCACTACATGATATATAAGCCAGTTAGCAGACACAGTCGTATTTAATATGTTTTATTGGACAGAGGAGAGAGAAAGTGGGAAAGATAGGTTGGGAAAAGTGCATCACATAGGCTGCGTTTACACAGGAAGCCCATTCCGATCTGACCCACTGACTATGGCTGCGTTTACACAGGCAGCCCATTCCGATCTGACCCACTGTCTATGGCTGCGTTTACACAGGCAGCCCATTCCGATCTGACCCACTGTCTATGGCTGCGTTTACACAGGCAGCCCATTCCGATCTGACCCACTGTCTATGGCTGCGTTTACACAGGAAGCCCATTCCGATCTGACCCACTGACTATGGCTGCGTTTACACAGGCAGCCCATTCCGATCTGACCCACTGTCTATGGCTGCGTTTACACAGGCAGCCCTTCCGATCTGACCCACGTCTAAGGCTGCGTTTACACAGGAAGCCCATTCCGATCTGACCCACTGACTATGGCTGCGTTTACACAGGCAGCCCATTCAGATCTGACCCACTGACTATGGCTGCGTTTACACAGGCAGCCCATTCAGATCTGACCCACTGACTATGGCTGCGTTTACACAGGCAGCCCATTCAGAACTTTTGCCCAATTATTGGCAAAAGAGCTGATCTGATTGGCCAAAAGATAAATTGGTGGGAAAAGATCAGAATTGGGCTGCCTGTGTAAACGCAGCCATATACAGTGGGGTCAGATTTGAAACCGGGCTGCCTGTGTAAACACAGCCATATACAGTAGGGTCGGATTTGAAACCGGGCTGCCTGTGTAAACTCAGCCATAGACAATAGCTCAGATTTTAACCCATGAAAACACTGGTATTTGTGCTGTAGGCCGCAGCGCTGACCGCTAGACCAACGAGGTCACATAGCAGACGCTTCTAACCAAAGCCATTTACTGTTCAGGGAGTGCATACATTCTGTGAACCGTGTGGGGCCTTATGAATGGAGGTCCTTCCAGAGTATTATGATTAGGGTGTCTTACTAGGTAATTGGTTGATTGGTTAATTGATGGACTGATTTGATTCATTGATTGATTGGCCTTACCAGGTAATGCATAGCCCAGGCCAACTGCTTGGCAACCTCCAGCTTCCAGGTGATATTCACAGAGCTCTTGTTCTTCTTCTGGTATGTATCCAGGGACCCAAACTTCACATACTCCTGCACCATCATGTCTGAAAGGCAAAGGATTAGAACACAACAATCACAGCTGGACCACTGTAGCACATCACATCAAATAAAGGGACGTAAAACTGCCATACGGTTTTGATTAGCAATTTCCCAACTTCTATGGTCAATAAGGACTGGAGGGTAAAAGCATCCAATGTCAATCCACATTAATATTCTTATTCATACTGTATCAAATCAATCTTAATTTATCCATTCGAGTGTTGGATCACACACACATCTTTAAAACCAGGCACGACCATGCATAGTGATATATAGAGCGAGGCCTGCTTCATATTTTGAGTCAGCACTTCATACAATAGCTGGCTGCTCCAGTCCTTACATAACATACGATTAACTTAGGGCCTCGGCCAGTTCAGTAATCACAGATCACAGCAGTCACAGGTCACAGCTACCGTTAAAAAGTATTTTATTCCAGACAGACAGTGTGACCGACACTGGCCCTGATGTTACCCAGAGAGCACAAGCCACGTGGCCAGGGTCGTGTTCATTAGGCTACAAACGGAAGAAAACTGGACTTGTCCAATAAGAAATGCTAATTTTCGTGTTCCATTGTATGCCCCAATGAACTGCTGTGTTTAATCCAGCCCCAGTCGGACTTAACTAGAAATAGGCCCCTATCCCATTACTAAAAACACCTCCACTGATCCTCAGATAGGACGCCGCTGACTGGGAGACAGACAGAAATACAGAGGACAACCGTTTTGTAGAGAGGGCAGGGAGATAGAGTTCAGGGGGAGAGAGAGAAGGTCAGAACCCTGAGGGGATAGGGTGGTGAGGGGATAGGGTGGTGAGAGGATAGGGTGGTGAGAGGATAGGGTGGTGAGGGGATAGGGTGGTGAGAGGATAGGGTGGTGAGGGGATAGGGTGGTGAGGGGATAGGGGGGTTAGAAGGTTTCGGGTGGTGAGAGGATCGGGTGGTGAGAGGATAGGGTGGTGAGAGGATAGGGTGGTGAGAGGATCGGGTGGTGAGGGGATCATGTGGTGAGAGGATCGGGTGGTGAGGGGATCGGGTGGTGAGGGGATCGGGTGGTGAGAGGATAGGGTGGTGAGGGGATAGGGTGGTGAGGGGATAGGGTGGTGAGGGGATAGGGTGGTGAGAGAAGGAGGCTTGGGTTAGCTTAGGCCAGCGTTTCCTAAACTCGGTCCTGGGGGTCCCAAAAGGTGCATGTTTTGGTTTTTGCCCTAACACTACACAGCTGATTCAAATAATCAACTCATCATCAAACTTTGACTATTTGAATCAGCTGGGTAGTGCCAGGAAAAAACAAAAACGTACACCCCTTGGGGTCCCCAGGACCGAGTTTGGGAAATGCTGGCTTAGGCCCATTGCAAAGTTTGGTATGGAGAGCGAGGTAGGCTAACAGAGGAGGTTAGGATGGAGCGAGGTAGGCTAATAGAGGAGGTTAGGATGGAGCGAGATAGGCTAACAGAGGAGGTTGGGATGGAGCGAGGTAGGCTAACAGAGGAGGTTAGGATGGAGCGAGGTAGGCTAACAGAGGAGGTTGGGATGGAGCGAGGTAGGCTAACAGAGGAGGTTTTGATGGAGCGAGGTAGGCTAACAGAGGAGGTTGGGATGGAGCGAGGTAGGCTAACAGAGGAGGTTGGGATGGAGCGAGGTAGGCTAACAGAGGAGGTTAGGATGGAGCGAGGTAGGCTAACAGAGGAGGTTAGGATGGAGCGAGGTAGGCTAACAGAGGAGGTTGGTATGGAGAGCGAGGTAGGCTAACAGAGGAGGTTAGGATGGAGCGAGGTAGGCTAACAGAGGAGGTTAGGATGGAGCGAGGTAGGCTAACAGAGGAGGTTGGGATGGAGCGAGCGGTAAGCTAACAGAGGAGGTTGGGATGGAGCGAGCGGTAAGCTAACAGAGGAAGCGGTGAGAGGTATAATAGAATTGTGTAATGTCACTTACTCTCCTCCCCGCAGACACACACGCCATAGTTGAGGAGCAGGTGCTTATGGGATAGCTGGCTCATCATACTGGCGGCTTCAAAGAACGACTGGAGGGAAGAGGGAGAGAACAGAGGTCAGACAGAGTTAAATACTGTGCCTTAGGAAATGTAAGCAAACATAGAAAATGAACAATCAATTGGCAAAACATTGTGCTAAATAAAATGACTTATCAGCAATGGAGGATTCCTGTCCCTTTCAAGAACTAATTCAAAAAGAGTTTCAGACTCCAAGTCCATCTCCTTAACACTACATCTTGTTGACTGGAGGTGGGGAGAGGTTCTCAACCAACCTCGGAGTAGTTGCGGTGAGCCTTATCCAGGATCTTGACAATGACATCCATCTGGTGAATTTCTCCGTAGTCTCCCAGCTCCTTCCTCACGCCACAGAAGATCTTAGTAAACGTTCCCTGACCCAGACTGTCTTTCTGTAACACACAGGGAACACAAGACAAGCATGAAGCAGGGTCTAGGATCCTATCCTTTTCCCTGGTCATCCAAAACATGTTGTGATGATGCAAACACATCCTCACTTGAACATTTGAACGTTGCCCCTTTTTTAAATTGTATTTGTGAGTGTTTATTTCTATGTATATTATATTCCAGGTTCCTGCTTAACTTACATTATTCATATCATGCCATAGTTAGATAGATCTCATTCCACCATTTCACCTGAACCAGTTAAGGAGCGACAATTCAGTCTCTGATTGAAGTCCTCTATCAAGTGTGTGTGTCAATGTGTGCATGCACATGCAGGTGTATGTCTGTGTCACAGGTGAAAGGGTCATAGGTGAAAGAGGTCAATACACCATAATAGGAACTCTAAATGTATCCTAATTGACCTTTAGGTCAAGAGTGAAGGAGAAGGAGTGAGTGAGTGAGGTATCTTACGATGACGAGGTCCTCCTTGCGTATCTTGTGGAAGACCATCTGGCTGATGTTGTGTCTGTGTAGAGTGGGGGACAGGGGGACCTCAGCCCCCTGGTTACTGCGGCACACCAACAGGTTAGACTTGTCTGCAGACACGGGGAACACAGAGACGAGGACGTTAAGTTAATTAGGAGTACATAGTCATCTACTACGCTTACGGGTCGTATTCATTAGGGCACACTGCAGAAAAAAGTTTTTCAACGGTAAACAAAAACAAGTTGGACAAGTTCAGGTAGTCCCTCCCCGTTTCATGTTTTTTTAAATATTTTTTCGTTTGGTACCTAATGAATCTGACCATCAGGGTCTGTTAGTTGCACTGGTTGACTGCCTGGCCTGACTGAGCCTGTTGGGTCAGACATGTGATGTATGTGACACAACATAAATGTTATGAACAGTACGTGTGAAGTGGGGTCGATGCGGCTCAGAGGCCTTGTCCAAGTGTTTCTGTTGTGTTTGTGTATAGACAAAGGAATTGGTTATCCTGGTGAACATAACGTGACCAAAATAAACCCTCTTGAACGTTATGAACTGTCATGCATGACCTATTCATGATGATAGTTTTACAAGAGCAAGAACTACAATACTTGTCCCATGTCTCCTTTTAAATGATAGTGCATTATTTGTTTATCAAACTACTGTGAGAATATAGATCTAGAGTTGAGTGTGGCTGGAGAGCTAACATCAGCCCACATTGCTAACATTGGCCAAAGAAATGAAGTAGGCCTGTTTATGATATTGTTATCATCACAAAACACAGCTATGACCCTTATTCCCTGACCCCTCACCTTTAGCCTTAGGCGGGCAGCACTTGGTGAACTGGAAGATGTGTCCGTCGGAGCGCAGCGCTTCTTTCTGGTAGCGGTGGAGCAGCTCCCTCAGAGAGCCGAAACTCTTCTTGGCCCCAGAGAGGATGTAGTCTCCCTGGTCTGTCTTCACTATCTGGCAGTGCTTATACTCCACTAGGCTGTCACACTGCAGGGAGAGAGACAGGTCTGGAAACATTGAAGGGTCTGGGATAAACACACTTAACACCATGTCTTTCAACAACCTGTATTGTACGGTATGATACTCACGCCCACTACAAAAGACAGGAAGTATTTGTTGTAGTCCTTTGGGCTGCTACGGAGGATGTACAGACCCTTGTGATTCCCAGACCGCCGCAGCTTACTGATAGCAAAGTCCATCCTGAGGACATAGAGAGACAGGACAGATGAGATATGGTCAGGCATGGTTGTACCGTACGTGTGCGTATATATATATATATATATATGTATATGTATGTATGTATGCTTGTATATGTACAAGTTAGTGATGAGGGGGTTGACACATAAACTGAAGTCCCCTAGGTTATATCAGCGGGACGGGCGGGTTTAGGGTTATGACATCTTGTGTGGATGAAGGGCGGGTGCATGACCGGGCGGGTTGAATAAAAAGAGAAAACAACGCATAAAAAAATCCATAACTGTGCCATATATATCTATAGGCTACATTAAAAAATATATTTAATTATTTTAGGTTATCTGGCATTAGTGCGTAAGACTAATAAGCTTTAGGGCCAAACTGTACGAGCGCCAAATTGCCTAAACGCTAATTGCCAAATGCTTTTGGGAACGGGCAGAAAAAGTTAACGTCTATCCATGGAAGGACAATGTGGGAGTTTAATTCAATAAGAGAAAAGCTGTGAAATGTAGAGTTGAAGATAAAGAGAAGGGAGGGCCAGAAAATACATGTTTGGGAAAGATTTGGTGAAGTGATAAAAGAGGATGATAGCAGTGTCAGCTATGTTATGTGTGATGGTTGTGAGGAGCTATACAAATTCAACAGTCACAAGACAGGGACTTCAAATAGGCCTATGGCAGTGTCAGCTATGTTATGTGTATCGGTTTGCCTCCAGAAAATGTTTGGTGTGCCCGAACAGCCGAAAAAACCCTCACCGAAGTCCAAAACGAACAAAAAAACGTCACAAAATGTCGTCGTAATATATGTACGAACTCTTCCGAACTGTTTCGGCTGGGAAGCATGCGGACGCCTAAAGGGTTTATTTAGACTTACATTTACATTTTAGTCATTTAGCAGACGCTCTTATCCAGAGCGACTTACAGTTAGTGAGTGCATACATTTTTCATACTACACCATTTAAATAAACATTTATACATAGGCTTAGCGCACAAACACTTACTTCTAGGACAACTTACAGTGCATTCGGGAAAGTATTCATACCACTTCCCTTTTTCCACATTTTGTTATGTTACAGCATTATTCTAAAATGGGTAGAATTATTATTTATTTTTGTATAAATGTGTAAAAAATTCTAAAAACCTGTTTTTGCTTTGTCATTATGGGGTACTGTGTGTAGATTGATGAGGGGGAAAAAACTATAATCCATTTTACAATAAGGCTGTAACGTATACTTTGAATACTTTCCGAATGCACTGTATAATGACAGAAGAGAAGCTGCATGTATCTAATTATTTTACATTTTTGTTTTAGACAAGTTGACTAACAAATAGCCTACCAAAATGTCGGAAACATACCTAAAATCAGGCACCCGGATGCGGGTGAACAAACAGCTGAGCCGCACACCACTAGTACACCTGTCTATGTGTGTGCGGATGTTCTTGTGTTTGTATATGTGGTCCTCTGTAGCTCAGCTGGTAGAGCACGGCGCTTGTAACGCCAGGGTAGTGGGTTCGATCCCCGGGACCACCCATACGTAAAAATGTATGCCCAAATGACTGTAAGTCGCTTTGGATAAAAGCGTCTGCTAAATGGCATATTATTATTATGTGCCTAGTCTTGACTTACGAGACTGGGCCGTGGCAGTAACTCTGAATGGCCTCCAGCAGCCTAGGGGGCGCCACCTCTTTACACAGGAAGTGGTGAGCGTCTGCTATGAGCCGGTAGTAGCCATCCACCAAAGACACAAAGGACAGAGCCTCCGACAGGGAATGGAACTCCAGCTCCTGTGTAGTAGAGCGAGATGGACAGAGGAAGAGGATGGAGGAGAAAAGAGGGGTGGATCAGTCCTCTGTTACACATAATACAAGGTATACAAGGATATGAGAAATGTTCCTGTTCTGATCTAACATAACACTTGGGCTGAGTCTGAAACGTCACCCTGTTCCCCTACAAAGTGCACTTACTTATGGCCCTATGGCTCTGCTCAAAAGCAGTGCACTATATTGAAAATGGCGTTTCATTTCAGACACAGCTTTTGTCCTCTTACCAGAGTCTGACTGTCCTGTCTGTTGATGGTGACGATGCGACTCTCGATAGAGCCATCCTTGTTGGCTTGCTTGATGCTGATGTCAATAACCTCAGGGAAATCACAGTACGTCTGGAAACCCTATAGAGAGAGAGCGAGAGAGAGAGAGAAAGAGAGTAGTAGCAGCCATCCTGAATGCACAACCGTTTCAAACATCCTTCCTCTCACGCTCTATGAAATGATTGCAGGAGACAATTTGAACACATGACTAACCCTAGCCCTTTGTGGTTGTTTCAACATGTCCTTTGCTGTTTCCAAGAAGAAAATCATAGAAAAGAGAAAGATAAAAGGAGAAGACGAGAAGGAAAAGTAAGAGAAAGAGGAAGAAAAAGATGAGGGGAACAACAAACTAGAACAAAAAGGAAAAGAGAGCGAAAGAAGAGGAACAGAAAAGAGAAGAGAATGCTACTACTCCCTACCTTGTCTGCCTCCTTATCCTCCCCCTGGGACCACTGGATGCCGTTGTTGCCTGTGACGACGATGGTGACCTCTCCGGCCAAGGGCTCAGTGACCCGGAAGCACTCTGAGTAGAAGGCTGGCTGCAGCGTCTCCAGGTTCACCAGGTATTTGAGCTTGAGGTCACGAGCCGTGGCTTTACACTGGCTGAACTGCTGGATGAACTTCTTGAAGCGATGGCGGATCCTCTTCCGGGTCACAAAGTGGTACTCCTGGATATGGGCACGCATATTCTTGGGCAGGAATGACTTATAGCTAGGGAGGGAAGGTGAAAAAATGGGTTTAGTTACAATTGGGTGCGTTACATACCAGTATCAATAGCAGCAAAGAGCTGAATTATATGATACAACAAACACAATACACATCTTAAGAACATGGGCTGGAGTGGACTGGACTGAGGTTTGGTGGATTGGAGTGAGGTTTGGTGGATTGGAGTGAGGTTTGGTGGATTGGAGTGAGGTTTGGTGGATTGGAGTGAGGTTTGGTGGATTGGAGTGAGGTTTGGTGTGGTGGATTGGAATGAATTGAATTGGAGTAATGGTGTGATGGATTGGAGTGAGGTGGGGTGGATTGGATTGGATAGGTGTGGTGGATTGGAGTGAGGTGTGGTGGATTGGATTGGATAGGTGTGGTGGATTGGAGTGAGGTGTGGTGGATTGGATTGGATAGGTGTGGTGGGTTGAGGTGGAGTGAGGTGTGGTGGATTGGAGTTACAGTAGGTGTGGTGAGGTGGGTGAGTGTGGTGGGAGTGAGTGGGGTTGGACTGGCGTGGGTGGGGTGAATTGGAGTGAGGTGTGGTGGATTGGAGTTACAGTTGGTGTGGTGGATTGGAGTGAGGTGGGGTGAAGTGATGGTTCATTCTTGGGAGCAATTTCCAAACGACTGAAGGTACCACGTTCATCTGTACAACCAATAGTACGCAAGTAAAAAACACCAGGGGACCACCACCTCTACCCCGGGAAGGATACGCATTCTGTTTCCTAGAGATGAATGTACTTTGGTGCGAAGAGTGCAAATCAATCCCAGAACAACAGCAAAGGACCCTGTGAAGATTCTGGAGGAAACAGGTACAAAAGTATCTATATCCACAGTAAAACAAGTCCTATATCGACATAACCTGTAAGGCCGCTCAGCAAGGAAGAAGCCACTGCTCCAAAACCGCCATAAAACAGCCAGACTACGGTTTGCAACTGCACATGGGGACAAAGATCGTACTTTTTGGAGAAATATCCTCTGGTCTGATGAAACAAAAATAGAACTGTTTGGCCATAATGACCATCGTTATGTTTGGAGGAAAAAGGGGGTTACTTGCAAGCCGAAGAACACCATCCCAACCATGAAGCATGGGGGTGGCAGCATCATGCTGTGGAGGTGCTTTGCTGCAGGAGGGACTGGTGCACTTCACAAAATAGATGGCATCATGAGGAAGGGAAATTATGTGGATATATTGAAGCAACATCTCAAGACACCCATCAGGAAGTTAAAGCTTGGTCGCAAATGGGTCTTCCAAATGGACAATGACCCCAAGCATACTTCCAAAGTTGTGGCAAAATGGCTTAAGGACAACAAAGTCAAGGTACTGGAGTGGCCATCACAAAGCCCTGACCTCAATCCTATAGAAAATCTGTGCGCAGAACTGAAAAAGCGTGTGCAAGCAAGGAGGCCTACAAACCAGCTCTGTCAGGAGGAATGGGCCAAAATTCACCCAACTTATTGTGGGAAGCTTGTGGAAGGCTACCTGAAACGTTTGACCCAAGTTAAACAATTTAAAGGCAATGTTACCAAATACTAATTGAGTGTATGTAAACTTCTGACCCACTGGGAATGTGATGAAAGAAATAAAAGCTGAAATAAATAATTCTCTCTACTATTATTCTGACATTTCACATTCTTAAAATAAAGTGGTGATCCTAACTGACCTAAGACAGGGATTTTCTACTAGGATTAAATGTCAGGAATTGTGAAAAACTGAGTTTAAATGTATTTGGCTAAGGTGTATATAAACTTCACATTTCAACTGTATATACAGTGGGGAAAAAAAGTATTAGTCAGCGAGTGAGTTTGGAACTTAAAGAGGAGGCTGTGATTTCATGAGGTAGACGGTATTGGAAAAAATGAGAAAAAAAAATAGAATCTTGTGGATTTTGAATGATTTATTGCAAATGATGTGGAAGTAAGTTGTTGTCATAACGATTTGCTCATGCTTTGTATAGGTGTTGTTGGAATGACACAGGCAAGTTTTCTGTAAGTCTAAGGGTTTTCACACACGTTGCTGGTTTGGTTTCCATGGATTCGTCTAGGCAGTGTGTTTTGGGCTGTGCATGGGCACAAGCTTAACCTAGATTTTTTTGTGGGTGAGATCTGGAGACTGGTTAGGCCCTCGGGCTTGATGCGTCTTAGCGACCTCGTGGTCCCGGGCGTGTTTGTGGATCATTGTCATGTGAAAGACAGACATGTTCTTCGTCTGTTGCTGAGGTGTGGTTTATAAATTGGTGCGGTGGTGCTAGGTAGGGTGGGGTGCTGGCTGGGTGGGGCGTGGGTGGGGTGTTTGGGAATTGGAGTGAGGTGTGTGATTGGATGGGTTCAGTTGGTGTGGTGGATGGAGTGGTGGTCATGCTGGTTCATTCTGGCACTTCCAACACCTGAAGGCCACGTCATCTGTACAACAAGTAGCCGATAAAACCATGGGACCCGCAGCCGATTTGCAGGTTTTCTTTTAGATTCCGTCTCTCACAGTTGAAGTGTACCTATGATAAATTACAGACCTCTACATGCTTTGTAATAGGAAACCGCAAATCGTCAGTGTATCAAATACCTTCTCCCCTGTATATATAAGGAACACACTCTTATGCCTCACGTTTAATAGGCTATGGCCTAGTGAAATGGAGAAAGAGAATGTATTTAAAGCCTATATGTTAATATGTCTTATATGTATTCCAGTCCATTTTGATACAATATCCCTGAGATGAATGTTGTACATGTTCGTTATATAGCATTAACTTGCACTTGTTTCAGGTTGAAAGAATGATTCCCTACCTTAGTCTTTCAATAAAGTTCTTGTTTTATTAATATTATATCATTTGTTTATGTCTTTCCTTATCATATGTAAGACTAAATGCCATTTGTAATTTGTTTTGGTTCAGAAATGTGCTAAATATACTACCCACATACAGTTGAAGTCGGAAGATTACATACACCTTAGCCAAATATATTTAAACTCAGTTTCTCACAATTCCTGGCATTTAATCCTAGTAAAAATTCCCTGTCTTAGGTCAGTTAGGATCACCACTTTATTTTAAGAATGTGAAATGTCAAAATAATAGTAGAGAGAATGATTTATTTCAGCTTTTATTTATTTCATCACATTCCCAGTGGGTCAGAAGTTTACATACACTCAATTAATATTTAGTAGCATTGCCTTTAAATTGTTTAACTTGGGTCAAACGTTTCAGGTAGCCTTCCACAAGGTTCCCACAATAAGTTGGGTAAATTTTAGCCCATTCCTCCAGACAGAGCTGGTGTAACTGAGTCAGGTTTGTAGGCCTACTTACTCGCACAGGCTTTTTCAGTTCTGCCCACACATTTTCTATAGGATTGAGGTCAGGGCTTTGTGATGGCCACTCCAATACCTTGACTTTGTTGTCCTTCAGCCATTTTGCCACAACTTTGGAAGTATGCTTGGGGTCATTGTCCATTTGGAAGACCCATTTGCGACCAAGCTTTAACTTCCTGACTGATGTCTTGAGATGTTGCTTCAATATATCCACATAATTTCCCTTCCTCATGATGCCATCTATTTTGTGAAGTGCACCAGTCCCTCCTGCAGCAAAGCACTCCCACAGCATGATGCTGCCACCCCTGTGCTTCACGGTTGGGATGGTGTTCTTCGGCTTGCAAGCAACCCCCTTTTTCCTCTAAACATAACGATGGTCATTATGGCCAAACAGTTCTATTTTTGTTTCATCAGACCAGAGGACATTTTCCAAAAAGTACGATATTTGTCCCCATCTGCAGTTGCAAACCGTAGTCTGGCTTTTTTATGGCGGTTTTGGAGCAGTGGCTTCTTCCTTGCTGAGCGGCCTTACAGGTTATGTCGATATAGGACTTGTTTTAACGTGGATATAGATAATGTTGTACCTGTTTCCTCCAGTATCTTCACAAGGTCCTTTGCTGTTGTTCTGGGATTGATTTGCACTCTTCGCACCAAAGTACGTTCATCTCTAGGAGACAGAACGCGTCTCCTTCCTGAGCGGTATGATGGCTGCGTGGTCCCATGGTGTTTATACTTGCGTACTATTGTTTGTACAGATGAACGTGGTACCTTCAGGCGTTTGGAAATTGCTCCCAAGGATGAACCAGACTTGTGGAGGTCTACAATTTCTTTTCTGAGGTCTTGGCTGATTTCTTTTTATTTTCCCATGATGTCAAGCAAAGAGGCACTGAGTTTGAAGGTAGGTCCTGAAATACATCCACAGGTACACCTCCAATTGACACAAATGATGTCAATTAGCCTGTCAGAAGCTTCTAAAGCCGTGACATCATTTTCTGGAATTTTCCAAGCTGTTTAAAGGCACAGTCAACTTAGTGTATGTAAATTTATGATACAGTGAATTATAAGTGAAATAATCTGTCTGTAAGCAATTGTTGGAAAAATTACTTGTGTCATGCACAAAGTAGATGTCCTAACCGACTTGCCAAAACTATAGTTTGTTAACAAGAAATTTGTGGAGTGGTTGAAAAACGAGTTTTAATGACTCCAACCTAAGTGTATGTAAACTTCCGACTTCAACTGTATAACACTGTATACTGTATATACACATATCAGATATTACTGCCCACTACAATATCATATGCCAAAACATGATTTGTATTGACCCGACTGTGAAGTGTGTGAACGGTACAACACGACGAGTTGAAGGGGAGAGGGGTGCGGCTGAATGAGCCAATTGGCAGCCTTTGATCTAGGGATGATTAAGTGGCCAGGAAGGTGAAACAAATGGCAAGTTAGGATTTTAGACAGGACACCGACCAGAGTTAACATCCCTTCTTCAGTGACCGCAGGGAAGGCTCTGCATTCCACCTGGTTTGACCGTCGTGTACACATCGTTTTGTGACCAAACGTTTTTCAGCTCTGACAGTTTCTTATACGTTTTTCTTGGCTTTGA